TCAAACAGCTGGAAGGAAGGAGTACCAGGATGGGACCCCAATTTTCTGACTCTAAAGCTCCTTCTAGGCCACAACCATTTTGGGAGGGAGGTGTCATCATCACCAGCATCAGTAGTGGAATTACCTACATTTTACACATGCGGGAAAGGAGGCACAGAGAGATAAAGCAACTTGCTCAGGGCTACACAGCACAGAAGAGCTGGGAAGAAGGAAGAGGTAGTCATGAGGGTCAGTGGAACTTCTGTCTCTCTAAATGTGCTTCACATCACAGCAGCCATTCAGTGTCAGCTTCAAGTGGAAAGAACATAGAAGAGTCCAGAGATATGGCCTATCAGCCGTACCAGATATACTGACTTTCAGCCAGTAACACCTCTCTGGGCTCAGGGACCTACATAATGATAAATTAGATTTCTTCAGTCACTTCCAGATCTAACATTTTTAGCTCTTACTCTGTGAATTCTCTGAGCTGGAAGAGGCCATACATGGACATCTAAGAGGATTACTTTCTAAAAACTTGACCAGGAATGTCATTATTAGAACCTAGATAACGACACTGTCATAAAGTCATCTCTTTATAAAAGGAGTGATGGGCTGAGGATGCCTACATGGAACTTTCTTTCAGAGTCAACAAATGACCATAACTTAAGCTGCCCTCCAAGTAGGTCCACGTGTATATTTGGTAAAAGCTGCCCAGTTTGTCAAGAAGTATGTGCAAAGTCACTGAAGCCTGTAATCCAGTCTGAACTCAACTCTTGCAGTTCTACAGCAGCAGACTCACCTGTCAGAGTTTGCTCTGAGGTGCTCAATTAACAAGAGGGTCCTTCTGTGACAGCAGTTTCTTGATTCCTTCCTCAGAGACTCCTGTCTCTGGCCTCTGAGTCGGTGCATGGCATCTGCCTGACCCTCAGAACTCCCACCCCCATCCAGAAACACACAGCTCACATATGTGTGGGGCATGTGTTGATTACTTTCTGACCACAGCTCGCCCTGGGCACAGGGGTGCCTTTCACAGTTGAGTTTATAGCTGATCCATCCAGGTGAGGCCCCTGAGTCAGGGCCACTATCAGCCCAGATCCAGGGGGACATGCACCTTCGTGCCAGCCTGGTGGTGCATGTGTTGGGGTTGGAGGGCACCTTTGGTGGCCAGAGGTCTTTGGAATCAATTTATTTTCATTTAAATATGTTTTCCCTTGATTCAGAAAGAACTGAGAGAAGCGAAAATACTAATCAAAACGAATGCAAATATCCAAGGCTCCTTTCTCTCAGAAATGCCCTATTTTCCCCTACCCCCTCCATGGTACTAATGTTTTAGAAATAGAAGGCACCTCTGGAGAGACAGGATAATACCAAATTTTAAAATCTGTAGAAAATGAGTACAGGGGTAGGCGGCACTATTAGCGCTACTAAAAATAAGCTTTGGGAAGCTACAATAAATGGAAAAACTAGAAGAGTCATCCTTTTTTTAAACTGTATTGAAAATTCTGTATGTTCAGGAGCCATTTTCTCCAGAGATTCCAACAATAATACTTTGGATTCAATATTCATTTCTATAGCGGTCTCCCTCCCATTTGGATCCGTCCAGGCGCTCCCCTCACCACTGCCCCAATAATGCCGGCTGAATATTGAGCTTATTACCCATACAGGAGAGCATGGTTCTGCCAACTGAATATTATGCCAGATGCCACAGCATGGGGGCCATTACACCCTGCTTGCTTGCTTCGTGGTGTACTGAAGAAGGAAATTATTTTCCTTTATTTTTTACAGACAGTTCTAAGGTTACTGTAGACAAAACACCCAGTCTGCTTCGCCCTCAGTGGATGGCCCTCCCTGCCCCTATTACCTCAGGGACAGGTCTGTTCACACTGCTGATCTTAGAGCAGGTTGGTATGCATCCTAAGAAGCCACAGAGCCATCGGCAGCTCTACTGGACTAGAGAAACGATGACAAATATCGAAACTGCAAAGACACTAGGTCTCATATTCTGCCAACTTGGGTTGCTATTCCAGATGCCATGCTGGACATGTCTGACAGACTTAACCTCCAACTCCCAGCTGAGCTGTTCTGAGGAATCAGGGAATTTCTTGTCTTTTAAAAGAAGAACTGAAAGAATATCTCACCAAGCCCCAAGGTCCAGGTGTTGATGTTTGGGGACTGGCCCCTCAGTATCTAGGTGGATTAGTAGCAAAAGTCACAGACTGTAGGAAACCAAGGGCTCAAGTTTATTACTGCTATTCCGCTTCTCAAAATTAGCCTTTACTGAAATATTTAATCCTTCTATGCATAAATAAATGGAGAAAGATGTACTCTAAGGAAAAGCTGCAGAAAATAGAGTCAACATAGTATTTACAAAAGAGGCACTTATAAAGTGGCCAGTCTACTTGCCTTAATTCACAGATGAAGAAAGTGAGTTACAGAGGCTGGCATTTTGAACAGGACCCCCAATCAGTATATGTCCAAGCTGGGGACAGCCACAGTGAGGGCTTCCTGCTCCAAACTCAGATTTCTTCCCCCACCCCAGAGGGGCCATGTGGTTGCTTTTTGTCTGATTCAGGGAGCCTCTGGAAAGACAGTGGCCTCCAGGTGGGACTGAGTGAAGGGTCAAGATTCAAAACCCTCCTCCTTTTTTACAAGGTGATCTGCAATGTATTATCATTTTTTCCGTCTTTGTTCCAGTCCGGACATTTCTTCCTCTTAAAAGCTGCTAACCCTTTATCATGGAGGTGGTGAAGAAATCTACCAATAAAGTAAGCCTGAAAGCCCTTTGCTTCCTGTGGAAAAATCTATACTTGCCCTTCAGCCTTATAATTGAGTTGCAAAGGGGAAAAATAAAATTGTTTCCTAGCTGTGTGGAGCCATTCCACTCAACATGCCAATAAAAAGCAAGTGGTGTTTTTGTCCATGGGATGTCCAGGTTCAGAGTTAGATCTATGAAGCTAAACAAGGGCTAGGTTATTACCAACAAACGATTACACTCTGGGTTGTATTGAACAGAGAGATATTTGAACTCTTGAGACTAATTGGAAGGGTTCTGAAATGTCAATGTTGACATCCCTGTCTAGATTCCCTGAACCACAGTGAAAACTAACCCTGAATCTTAAAAATGTTGGCTTCCAGAAACCCCTTGTTATCAGGAGATGTGAATATTAATTCTGGGCAGGCGAGTTATTTAGCTACTGGTGTCCTTTTTGTCATCAAGTATCTAGGTAATAACAATCTGCATTACCATTTTCTGGAATTTATTTGAAAGATTGTGTAACTGTCTGTATTACCATTTTCTGAAATTATTTGAGGGATTGTGTAAATAATACTACTTTTGCAGACTACTGTACTGTACTGAATCTCAATTACTCTCCCACAATATCTGTCCATGGGTGAATATCACCTACCTCAAAACAACCCTGTGTAGTTGGGGAGTTGGGAGTAATAGTCCCATTTTAGAGATAAAGGACTGAGGCCTAGAGGAGTGATTTAACTGAGTACACTGAGCCAGAAAGTAACAGAGAAGGGAAAAACCTAGATCAGCTAGTTCTACAATCAATTATCTCTTCATAGAAGCACACTGCTTCTATTTTGGTAAACACCAAATGCTTTAAATGTTAAGAAGTGTGACACCATAACAACTAATTAAGTTCATCCCCACCCTGTCAGTCATATCAATATTTAGGAGTCCATGTGCCTTTCCTCAGACATAAACCACCTTTATAGGTCTCTGGCTGTCTTTATGACTATAGCAAGCTCCTCTACGACAAAAGCGGGGCTTGTGTGATTCACTGGTGGATGGGGGAAATGGCTGGACTAGTCTTGCAGCATGCTCTCTGCTCTCAAGGCCATTTACATGGCCAGATCCAAGAACACTGGACCAGCCCAATCTTTCCTCATATATGGTGATTTGATTTCATTTGTAGACAAAATAGATGGCTGCCTTCCTATCTCAAGGGCAAGCACCTCTTTTACAATTCTTTTCTATCCCTTCCCTTTAGGTTTTCAATCTCTTGCATGGGGTTTTAAAAATAATTATTCTGCAGTGTGAGGCAGGTTTAAAGTGCAAATATATTAAAGAATCAATTGAGAACAATGAACTCATTCACTGATGAATAAGTAAAATACTAAGCAAATGGGGGGGGGTGGGCAAGACGGGCTGAGAGAAAAGAGGAAGGAATCAGGTCACTGACTGTGGGGAGGGTCACAGAGACAGGAAAGGGGCAGAAGTAGTACACAAGGAGCTTGAATACAGTGCACTGACTATTTTGCATAAGACAATAGCTGGTAAACATTCTAGGCTCTGGAGAAATGGTTTAAGGATCTGTTAACAGATATGGTTAAAATTTTTTTTTAATCCTTTTACTGAGCAATCACTTACATACCATAAAATCCACACATTCTAAGTAAACAATTTAAAGAGTTTTAGTAAATTCATATACTATAACCATCCCCACAATCCCATTTTAGAAGAAAATTCGATATGAAGAAATAATACTTGGAAAGGGTACTACAGCTTGCCTATCAAGCACCTTCTAGGATTTACTTTTACCAACACCTGCCTAGCTAGGTCCCACTCTAATGCTGGGATAGGGCAACTGCTTTGGAAGATCTACCACTTTTCCGTGTTTCTCAGTGAGTAGTTGCTGGGATTTGGGGGTGAGCTTGGAGCCCAGCACCTCTATGCCCAGACTCAAGGAGGGGCCCTGTTGTTGACAGGAAGGTCTACTTCCCCAACCTCCACACCCACTACTTGGAAAGTTACAGAGCACGCTCCCAGTCACACCTCCAGTTTCCAAAACCAGGAGAACAAGTGTGCGATCAGCCCCTCCACCCGAGCCTCCTACACCCACCTCTCCTCGGAAAACCTGAAGGAAATTGGCCAACAACCTGGTGTTCCATCCTGGTTGCCAGGTCCCCTTATTGTTTTTGCAGTTCTTAGAGACCATTAGCACAACTTCACCTCGACCAACATGTGACAGGCTACGCTGCACTTTATCTCCCGGCACCAAATGACTTACCTCATTCCAGGTCTTTCTGTTTCACTGCGAGTCCACTGGAAAACAGAAAAGTGGTCCTATTTTAAGGCAATGCAAAAACAAAGGCAAAGCTTGGCTGGCATTTGCTAGCAATACACATGTAAAGAATGGGCATGAGCAAATACTTTGTTGAGTATCGAACATGCTGAAACACTAAGGATTGACTGTAGAATCAAAGCAAGAGTTATGTTGTTGGAACCCGAAAAGGGGGTCTGAAGAAGATATGCCTGACTTTACCACATGTTGCCCTTCCGTTGAAGACTCCTTTCTTCCTCATCTATCTTCCATTTCCTAGTTCTCTATACCCAAACGATCCACCATTCCTTCTTCCCATGTCACTCCCGCCTGAGTGACTTAGGCTGCAGGATCAGGAGTTTCTATTTCATGTGTCTCTATCCTATCCCAAGTCTTGTGGGAAGGAGACAATGTCTCACTCATCTTTGGAACCCTGGTGTCAGATACCAGCTCTGACACATAAAGGACACTCACTAGATGACCTATACTCAGTGGACTAGGAAGGGACCATGAAAACAAAGAGGGGCACACAGGTAGAGCACATATTTCCTTCTGCAGGCAGCTGTGAGAATTTTCCAGAGTTGGCATGGCCAGGGAACGATTTCTGATAATTAACTGAATTAAGAAATTACTTAGGACTCAAGAAGTACCAAGTATAAACCACATTGTTAGAATGCAAGGGAAGGGACTATAGGCTTTGTGAAATTTGGGAGAATGCAGACTCCCAGCTAGAGGATACATTTATAACTCCACTGCCATGCTTTGAGAATAAGGACTATTCCTTCTTACAAACACTTATAGTCAGATCTATTATTCAACCAAGGTCTGAGAATCCCATCATTTAGAAAATAGGGTTAATGAAGGCTCAAAATTTCATACATCCTAAAGTGATTATCCATTTCCTGGGTGAAGGGAGGATCAGAGAGCCAATATAGCATGCCCAAGGTTGTCCAGTTAGAAATTGGCCATGCCATAACTTGAACCTGGGCCTTTATTACTTGAAAGATGAAGCTCACAGAAGTCCATTATATATTATTGCCCTTATGTTCCTCTGGATTTCAGTCTCACAGGGCAGCAAAGATAGGTCATATCTCTGTAGCTTGCTCTCCTGTGTGGGAGCTGAAGAGGTACCAAATGCAAGTTTCCTGAGCTGCATTCTAGATCATAAGCATGAGACCTTTATTTTTAACCAATAAGTGGTCTGTGTCTAGCCCAAGTTACCACCTGAGGGGGACACAAATACCTACAATGTGCTGGCCTGCAGCAGGGGTCAGGCGCACTGATGTCTCTGGTAGAGCACAGGCTCCAGCACAGAGAGGTCCCTTACCACCTTACAGACCCTTGCAACTCAGTGTAGCAGTGTGAATGCTGAATGGTAGGTTGGATTAGTGTGAAGGGTGTAAGAGCATCACCCCACCACTTGGAGAATCCTCAGTCACACAAACCACAATCCAGAGGAACATAGGGGCCAGATTTGGTGGTGGATGGAAACTAGATTTTTGGTGCTGATCAGAATGTATTATACACAGGTGTTGAAATATCATACTGCTAACCTGAAACCCAAAGAATATTATACACCAATGTTACTTCAACAACAATTTTTAAAAAAGTTCCAGCTCACATGGAATCAAATCCCTTTCTGCCATGTACTACCTACCTAAGCAGCCACGTCTAGGTATTAATCTCTTCAAGACTTAGTTTCTTCTATAAAATGGGGACAATTTGCTTTCACATACATTTTCTGTGAAATTGGAATGAGATCAAGCTCCAGGTGTATTGTCTATCACAGGATGAGGGCTCCCTACAGAAAGCAGTGGGGCGGTATCTTTTTCTAATTAAGGTGGAAGGTTGAAAGTTCTGGGTGGGGCACTGGACCGGGAGGGGAGGACTGATGGAAGGAAAGAAGGTTTTGCCCACTTTACATTTTTCCCAGGGCTGTCCCTGTGTGTTTGACTGATTGGGTCAAATTACCTAAGATCTAGCTAGATATTCAGATTCCTTTGGATGTGTCTGTGTTGTGTAATCTTCCGGCCTTGTAAAGGAACAGATCTGACTGGCAAGGATTCTGCAGGAGGCACCATCACAGAGATTTATAGTTCAGGAGAAACAGGGAAGGGCCCTTGACATTCTAAGACAAATCTAAGAACAGACAGAAACATGAGGATAAAGTTTCTATACTATTTAGTTGGTCTTTTTCTAAGAATAATTGAACAGAGGTCTACTTAGTAGATTAAGAACGAGAGCAGATGATGAAAAAGTCAGCCCCAATTGCATTTGCCCCCAAAGATGCCATTTCTAAATAATTCATATCACTTCCATCTGAACACATAGCTGCCTGCCCATTTAACCCCACAAACATAATGATGGGGGGGGATTTTTAAAATTCCCTGTGCCCAGGACACTCCATCTACAATGAAATTAGAAAAGGTGAGTGCAGGACCGAGGCATTAGTTCTTTATGAAGCCACCCAGATGGTTCCAATGTGCCACGAGATTTGAGAATCAAGTTTTTAGAGGGAGCGATTGGGTAGAAACTCAGGAGTTAACTGCACAGGGAGGCCTGATCTATATCACACACTCCAGGCCTAATCAGATCAGGCTGGTGTTTCGTTTAGCACACATTGTTTATTGAGACTAGAATATTTCTCAACCAACATCCTCTTTAATAAAGTCTAATTTGGGCCATTTCCACATTGTTAGTGTTGACAGGGAAATTCCCCAGTGAATTGATGGGAGGGGGTGGTGCTTTATAATCAAGCCTGAAGAAGTATCAAGCCTGCTTCCGGAGCCCAAAAAACCAACAGAAGAGATGCTTCAACAACTTCTGTATACTGCCACCTGGTGGGAGCTGGTCCCAACTTCACGGCTGCTACGCCTTGGGCTCCTGCCCCCTCCCCCAAAGCAATGTGATTTAGGAAAATGCCATGCATTTTCAATCCAATTTACTGGTGCCTTCCACGTTGATCAGACTTCCTTCTCTTTTTTTCCTCCCATCTGGTTAATATAATTATTGCTTTCAATTGGTGAAGCCATTGTATATAATAGCTTTGTTTGTTACTATGGTTACAAGTTTAGCAGTACTTTGGAATATAAATCTATTATCCACAAAAGTAGCTTTCTATTTGTCAAGGTGCAGCTCTTACACACCTCAAAAAGCAAGCTGAGTACTGGCATTAGTTTTCTGTCATAAAGAAAATGACCTTTCTGGGTCTAATTGTATTTGAAAATCCCCTGAGCCTAGTGTAGACACTTCTTGGAAGGGCTGAGTGCTATTCCACTTTCTCCCCGCCTGGGATTTTCCCAAGTGAAGCATCCATAAGAAGAGCTATCCGAAAGAATGTCAGAAAAGCTGGCTGTGGGGCAGATTCGGTTGCCAGTCTGAAGTCAGCACAACTGGGTTGTTCTAGCATATTTACACTTGTCTGATTTATTTCCCAGCTAAAGGCAAGGACTGAGAACATTCTCTCAGGAGTTGATTCTTTGGGTGTAATCCCTTCCTCTCATGCATCTGAAACATCACCCCTTACTTCCTGATGGAAATGGAATTATAATCTCCCTTTAGAAATGGGCAAAAGTTTATATCTGGGTTCAATCCTCCATCCTCAAGTGACAAAGTGTGACGGTGTCTCTGTTTTGACAGCATTTCACACCCAACTGAATCAGACCAGCCCTCAAAGCACAGAAGTTGTACAGCCTGTGAAGTTGGCTTAATGCAATCACTAAGTTCTCATCCTTGGCCAATCACAATCATTAACACTGGAGAGGCTGAGGGTGTCCACACCTTTCATGTGGTGACCTTACCTAATCCCTAGGACCATCCCAGAAGGTGTGCATTGCCATCACTCTCATTTTACAGAGGAGGAAATGGAGGCTCAGAGGATTAAGCACTGTCCTAAAGTCACCCAGTTCCCCAATGGCTAAGGTGGGACTCATCTTTGGACTCCAAGTTCTGCTCTCATTCTAGAGAGTCCTCTAAATCAACTCAACAGAAGCTCGCTTTCTAGATTCAAACAGCAGGGGCCAGGAGAACAGGGAACATGAACGCAATCACTAAGGACTTGATTAAACCATAGTGGACAAATTCCTATCACCTTCTTCCCTTTTTAGGGGAGAGTTATTGGTTTGGTAGGCCATTGGTGAATTTCCAATGGCTACTAATTAACCAGTCATGTCATTCAAATTCATTACCACAGAGCAGATGCATACTTATTTATACCACTCACATGGCAGGATAATTTGCAGTTATATAATTTTATGGTAATTATGATTGGGATTGCCATATAGAAACTAGGCACTTTGGAGGTGCATATTTACCAATAACTGGCTTCCTTGGAATTACCCATTAATGACATGATTAGTTGTTGCCTTATAAAAAAAAAAGTTGTTGTATAAGGTGTTTCATCTTTTCATTCTCAACAGACAGAAAAAAAAAAACAAAACAGGAATCTTGGCGATACCAGGGATAGGATAATTTTTTTTCACTTTTCTGGCAGAAGAGGATGCAGTTGTTCAGGTCTGTCCTGTTTCTGAGCCTGCTAGTGGTGCCCTGGTGACAGGGAGGAGATATATGTGTTTTAACAAAAGACGAAAGCGTGGAGCTGTACCAGGCTGGCCTCCCCATTTGTTGAGCCAGGTACAGGTGGGAATTACCAACCTGTGGAACAGCAGTGAGGAAGCTCAGAGAACCTAATCTTGGCTAAAGGGTATAAGACTCAAAAGGCGGAATGACTGCCTGGTCACCTGCTTCATGGGGTACCTAGAGAATAAACAGTATGAAGAAAGGAGGCCTGGAGAGGTGATTCCATGCTGTAGGGGTGCTATGATTACACAGCTCACATATAACAAATTCTGAGCATGACCACTACTTCTGCCGCCCAAACTAAAGTAGTCTCAAAGCTGGTTTTCTTGGCAACAGTGTCTTCTTGCCCCTTTCTCCACAACCCCTTGAACCTATTGTTCTCAAAAGGTTGTTCCTGCTGCTTATTTTTACTGGATATTACCTG